TGATGTATAAAAAGTAAGGCCATATTAATATGCTGAGCTGCAAAAGGCTCAAGTGAACAACTTCTGACATTGCCAGCCCTAAGGGTAACCCACTACTATTATGGACTATTGGACTATACTGGATTATTTTGCTGAATTCACATACCTTCAATATTTGAATGGCAATGAATACCCATCTCTGACAAAACTAAATAAAAAAGAGGGCTATAATGAAGGACCATTTTGTAGTGAAAAAATATATATCTGTACAACAAAATAGTTAGGATAGCTATACAGCTACTTTCTCTTAGTTCAATGAGAAGAAAGATTTGTAATAATAGTGTTTACACAAGATATCATGCCTGCATCTTGTACTATGAATAACTACTACAAAGACAACAATATGCAATGTATTAATTATTGTAACTGTCCTACTAACCTGTTTTGAAACTGTCTCATTGCTATTTCTTTCTCAATAAAATCAATGAAAAAATAAAATAAAATTTATATTTGAAAGAGAATAAAAATACTAAAACAATATTAGAAATGATGCAAAATTTCACTAAACAAGATGATAAGAATTCAGCAAAGGTTGTTATATTGCTTATTGTTGTCTTCAAATTGGTTGTTCAGATGACCAGATATAAGGTGGCATTCGATGCCCATCCATGGGCAAGTACACGTCCCAGGCTGACTCCCAAGCCCACTGCCACAGTCTCCTTTGCTCTATATTTCCTGTATTAGTGTGGCAGGAAAACCCACTGGGCAGGACTGAGCATTTTTCAGTCCTGCTCCATTCAAGCCCGGAGATATCAGAAAACAAAAAAGCAAAAAAAAAAAAAAAAAAAAAAAAAAAAAAAGGAAATAGGAAGTATGGATTCAATGCTTACTATGTGCTGCAGGCCATGAGAAATATCAAAACCATAAAACATGGCCCATGATCTCCCTCAAGGAGATTACAATATACTTGAGTAAATTTAAAATGAAATAAGAAACTATTTGAACTGCAGTTCAGTATACTAGTCAAGGAGGGCCACAAGGCAGGAAATGATTAACTGGAAAATGACTGGAGCAGGCTGTAATTGGTCTTGAGAAATGTGAATTCGCTCTGCTTTTGGAATTTGGGTCTGGTTTATCACATTGACTTGTGCTAAAGCGAAGTGTTGTTTGGGCAAAAAGCATAGCATAGGAAAATTCTTTCATATCTACATCCTGAAAAGAACAAGGTGCTGTTTCATATAGCCAGACTATCGCTGTTACAGGCTTGTAAACTTGGCTGTCTCTCGGGACAACACCAAAGAAAGGGTGTTCTGGGACATTATGAGTCACAGGAAGAAGACCCATTTTTTTGTCCTCACAAGCTCCAAAGGGAGGGGAAAGTCAACAGCCTGCTGTATTTTGAAAGACATGCCTCTGGAGGTTTTGCAAGGTGAGGCAATAATTATGTAACATTTGAGGCACCTGGTTGGTGAACACAAAGATTTGGATAAATTCCTGGTATTGGGTGGACAGTGAAATAATATTCTAGTCTTCAGTGACATTTATGACTGTGAAAGCATTGTAAAAGGATGGAATGAAGAGTCCTCTTCCCAAAACCTTTGCCAGCACCACTGATAAACCAGCACCCTTCTTTGTGTGTGAAGAACTTGTTAAGAGGGATAAGCTTCCTATTTTTTTCTCTCATAAATATGTATACTTTTTTCCTTTCTGATTAACAAATCTGAGACCTTCAGTGAGTCATTTAGTCTGTGGAAAGGAAACTAGGAAAATTTCTGTCCATCAAAGTGAAGAAAATGCAAGGGGGTTAGCCATCTGTTTGAAGCACTGAGTGAGAAATTGAAACACAGAAGAGGATGGGAATCCAAATGTATGCTACTCAAATGGTGCAGCAAAAGTTGCGTGGAAAATTTTTCATAAAAAAAACTTGTACACTGAAAGCCCCTGGAGCTGTGGCAGAAGCAAACCAAGAAATCCTCTGTAGAACATTTATATAACCCAGTGTTCTTAGGAGACCATGGTGTTTAGTGGCAAAGCACCTCTGCAGAGGATCAACTCATGATCAGAAGTCCTAAGTGCCACAAGGGAACCCACCTAACATGAGGCTCGGTGCACAGCAGACAGAAAAATAAGAAGCACAAACACTGATCTGTAAGATTACAGGTTTCAAATGATTAAATGCATAAAAGTTTTAAAAATTATAATAAAATAACAGGGTGTTATGATAAAAACCAGGCAGAACTGTATAAAATCCAAATGAATATCTCAGCTGAACAGATTAAAATTAAAGCACAACCTGGATGTGGTGGTGCATGCCAATAATCCCTGCACTTGGGAGACTGAAGCAGGAGGATTGCCAAAAATTTGAGATCACCCTGGGATACATGGTGAGTTCAAGACCTTCCTGGAGTACACAGCAAGACCTTTTCTCAAAAATGATTGTTAATTAATTAAATTAAGACATAAAACTAAACATTACCAATGAAAGAATAAATGAACTAGAAAAGGGAATCACTGGGAATCACCCAACTATAGCCCAAAGAAATAGGGCATGTAAAATATTAAGTCAAAGTTAATAACCCAGAGAGTACAATGAGAAAGTCTAGAATATTAAAGAAAAATTACAGTAAAACAAAATAATTATCACAAGTCATTTGAGAATTGCTAATAAAACAATCAAGTAATACCACATCTCTATTAAGATGGAAAAATCCCAACACTGAAAATACTATGCAGGGCCAGCCAAATAGCTGTGCAGATTCAAGTGTCTGCTTAGATGCACAGGCTGGGAGTTCGATCCCCAGTGTGCTGTGCAGGCCCTACCCCTGGGGCACACTGAGCTGGTGAGTGAGACTGGGTGTGGTGGTCTGTAATCCCAGCACTTGGGAGACTGTAAACAGGAGGATCACTGTGAGTCCCATCTATGCAGTGAGACCCTGTATACCCTGTACATCCTGTCCTAAATACAAAAAAAAAAAAAAAAAAAGAAAAAAAAAGAAAAAAAAACACTATGCAGTACTGGTGAAAAGGTGGAACAATAAAACTCTATTTTCTTACTTGTAAATGGTCCAGTTGCTGGGAATAGAGTTTCCTACAATGTAAAACATACTCTTCCCATGCAACCCAGCAATAATGTTCCAGGCCTAGATTTTTACCCAAAAGAGAAGAAAATATGTCTATCAAAAAATTTACGCCTATGTTTATAGCAACTGTATTTGTAATTGTCCAAAGTTGGAAGAAACAAAGACATCCTTTAATATGTCAATGGATGAGTGAATTGTACTTCTCGACCATGGAATATTATTGGTGGTTAAACTTGAACCAACCAGCCAGGAAAACACATGGAGGATCTGCAAACACATATCACTCAGTAGAAGAAATCAGCTCCATACACATGATTCCAACTCTATGGCATTCTGGAAAAGACAAAACCATACAGACAATCAAAAGACCTGTGACTGCCAGAGTTAGGGGAAAGCTGAGAGAGGGATGATGGGGAAAATGGATAGGATGAAGAGTTAATATTTAAAATGATAATACATGGGATTTTTGTCAGAGTCTAAGTTGTGAGTTATCAGAGTGAAGAATTACACTGAGTTCAAAGCCCAAGTAAGACAAATCCACACTTACATTTCACACCAAAAACAAAATAACAGCCTCAAAAATAATTCAAGAGGAAATATAGATTGAGCAGAAAGTAAGGACAAGGAGGAGATTAGCCACTTTTTGCAGTCCGGATCAGAAGAAAACTTAATAATATCTTCAGAAGGCCAAAGGAAAATCATTATCAACTTAGATTCTTATGTTAAACTCATTCAAGAGTGAGAGCAAACCAAAAATTAACTGTAATAATTTCATAAAAATAAAGACACCAATATAAAGTCAATGATAACAATTAACCTTTAAAAGGAGAATCAATAAAAACATATGCACTATTTATTTTTTTCAAATACCTTTTACTGCATCTTAAAGATCACTTATACACATTCATATACAATGTAGTCATTCTTTTCATTTAATATTATATACATTTTGGATGATCAGCATCATTAAAAGGTAATTTAAAAGCTGAATAATAGTCTAAGTGCCATAATTCAGTGGCTTCTAGACAGTTAGTGTAACCACTAGACATCTATATCTGAGAATTTCTCCTAAAAAGTGACTGGTTAAAATGCACATAAAAGAGAGAAAATGATGGTGAGCATGTCTACATTTTTATTTTTTTTCACTGAAAAAAAGCCACCCGCCTCTCTAATTGCCTACTGAAATGTGAATCTATTCCGTTTGCAAAGTATAATTTAGGGCCAAAGACATATTTTCCAACTAAAGTGGTGTGCCCTAAGCATGCTGCTCTTGGTTAACTTCTTGGAGTAACGCTGGATGTTCTACAGAGATGAAGTACTTTATGTGAGAACTCCTGCATGGCAGGGATGCTCTAGGAGGTTTCTTCATTAAATAAGTAGTAGCAAAGGTCGTGATTCTGAGAACTTACTGTGAACCAGGTATTTCTGTGATACATACATATATATGTATGTCTATGTATATATACATCCCCCCCCACACCACAACTCTGGGAAGTATGCACTACTGCTCTACCCCATTTTACAAGCAGGATAACTGTGGCTCTGGGGTCACAGAACTAATAAATGATGAAATGACAATTGACATGAAATTTTTCTTGTGTAACATGCTTCTGGTTAATCCTCGCTGCTGTTTTCCTCTGAGTATGGGTGAGTATGGGCCACAGGGATGGGGAAAGCAAGAAGAAAACAGCATAATTACCCCCAAAGACAAATCCATCCAAGAACTGTGCCATACTTGTCATCTGGATATGTTATCTAATTTTATCCTCTCTCTAATGCTATTAGGCAGGTGGTGTTATCACTACAGTCAACCAGTGGGCAACCAGAGGCCAGGGGAGCTCAGCAACCTTAAGGTCACACGTGTCTGTCCCTAACCCCAAAGTGTCTGCCCCAAAGCACACGCTGTGGTGCTCACTGCCTGTGGGGGTTGTGTCTATGCAGGTGAGATGGAGGAGCTGGAGACTCTGTGGCTCACGGGCATCTGCCACAACGAGAAGAACGAAGTGATGAGCAGCCAGCTGGACATCGACAACATGGCAGGCGTGTTCTACATGCTGGCAGCGGCCATGGCCCTCAGCCTCATCACCTTTATCTGGGAGCACCTCTTCTACTGGAAGCTACGCTTCTGTTTCACGGGCGTGTGCTCCGACCGGCCCGGGCTGCTCTTCTCCATCAGCAGGGTCAGTACTGCTGACAGTCACTTTCTCATGCAACATACAGGTTCAGAAAAGGCCTGGGATTTCAGAGAATCAGGCATTTCACAGTTCTTTTGGGGGTCTCCATGATTTCCCCGCACTTCCCTTCTCTGTAAGTTTGCCAGAAGGACATCAAGACTTTGTTCTTGCATAAACCAGCAAATGCAAACTCAGAGGACTATAGGAACCGGGAGGGGAATGGAAATGGGCAGAGTGGGAAGGAAATGAGGTGAATGCTGCAAATGAGATGAAACACAGTAGCTGAACCCAGATATCAAAGTAAGGGAGCAACATAGAATATGAGACAGTGGCAAGTAGTGCCATGCTTACCCACAAAGGGTTCAGCTACATGCAGTCCCTGTTATGTATTATCTTATAGACATTAGAGCCAATACTATCAGGGTCCTAGTTTTCAAAAGTATTAACTGCATGAATGGAAAGTCTCTCAATTTTTCAATATTAATGACTAATTCTATGAAAAATGGGGGCCAAATAAAGCCTTCATCTGTGGTCTGTGCCATGAGCACCCAGATACACCAAACTGTGCAGGATGTAATAATTTGAGCATGTGTTGCACCTGAACATGGGAAACAAAGCAGTCTACATGAAATGCTATGTAATGTACACACCTCTCTAACAAAACACAAAAAGTACGTGCAACTCAGCAAAGACTTGAACTGAAACAGAAGTGAAAAGTACCAGAAGAAAATGCACATACATAAAACAACAATCACACACACAAACCACCCTACACAAGCATAGATACACATGGAATGGTCAACTATGTGCAGCTTAAGAGAGAACATTATGGGATGTGTGTCACCACCAATGTATATGTGACATAGTTCATCAATAACGGTAATTATCCTGGAAATGCTGATATTGTATTTATGGAGCATGAGTATGAGCCAGGCACAATAGGTGAACTTCATATACTTCATTTCATTTAATGCACAAAGCATGAGGTGGATATGAATATTGGCTGTAGATTGCAAGTGGCAAAATTCAAAGGTAAATGCTAAGAGAATTGCCCCAGACTGCTCGGTCATAAGGTGGAGACAGGATTTCAATCTAGATAGTCTGGCACCAGTAAAAACCTTCACTTTCCCCCAAACTAAAAACATCAGATACAAGCAACACAAAAGATCTGATGCACTTCATACTTCAAAAATATGCACATTCCACACATGAAACTTGGCTTAATCACTGAAACGTAGTATGATACAAGCACATGCAAATGCTCTGTGCATGTATCTTCCTACCTCTCATTTATCTCTTTATTTTTGTTATTCCATTTGCCCACTTTGGTGTTTGTTTTTTCACCCATGAAGAGCTTAATGAATTAGGATTTGAAACACGGTGAAAATTGCTCAGTTAAAAACATCTTATCTCATATGCTAATGTTTATTGGAGAAACAAAACAATTGCTTTAAAGTAAATTTGTATATTCTCAGCATCTGGTAATTTTAAGAACTGTGGAGATTTGGAAAGTACACATAGCTTAGTGGAGAGGATTTATTTTCTCTGTTCAATTTCGCTCCAAACGGGGTTCTGTGCAAATGCATTTTTCTTAATTAGCTTGATGGCATCTAAACACATGGATTGCTTAAAAATAACAACATGTATTCATATAACTAGGTATTATGCAAACTTTAAAGTAGTTTTTGCAGCCAATTGCTAAAAGATTTTCATATCCAAATGATTCTGGGATTATCTTGAGCAAATGCATACTGTTGCATGTACTTGTAAATCTTGCTTGTTTGGGCAAGCCTGTAGCCTCTGCCTGAGAGACCATAAAGGAAGTCAAGTTGATAGAATCATCATTATATGACATAAACTAAATCCCTTACTCCCTTTCCAAGCATCTTGAAGGATGGGAATGGAGGGAACTAGGCAGTGAAGAGGAAGGCTTTGTGGTAACATTTCATAACAGGAAGAATTTACTCTTTGGCCTTTCCTTCCCAAGAGCAGAGGGCCCCAGTGCCTTGAAAGAAGTGCAGGAAGTTCTGTACCCTTTTGGGCACTCCCAGCCACTGTCACAGTTCTGTCTCTCTTCCCCAAATCACATTTGTGTTTTAAAGTTAAGCTGATATTAATGGATAAGGAAGCCTCATTCTTAATAATATTTTCCTCCTTTTCTAGTTCGTTAGGGAAATTCAGTGTAGGATCAATCCCCTAATGTATACTGCCAGGTTCTGGCTTGTAAAAACAAAATCAGAAAATGTTCTTGCTGTCTGATCAAGGACTGTCACCACTTCTAAAACTTGTCTCCTGTACACCTTCATATATATGCCATCTTATACACATGTAGTTCACACAGTACAGATAGCACATGTGGAAAGGAATGGATACTCTTGGTGTACACACACACACTGCAGCAGTGAGTTCCCAACAGGCATGCAGTATACCTGCTTCAGTCAGGTTTGTTTCCTGTACCATCTCTAGTCCTCACAATACTTGTGAGGTTGACTTGATCACACCTATCCCATGGATGGAGGAACTGAGGCCCCTAAGAATGGGATGTTTTTTACTTCACTTTTGTTTCTTTAAAAGGACAAGGTTCTTCTCATTCCACTCATCAGGCAAGAAAAAGCCATGAAATAGATGAAAAAGAGAAATGTTCTGTTCACATATGATTGGGTCACATGCACTAGTCTACTTCAGAGTTTAAGCTTCCTTCTAAGAATGCTGACACCCAATACTTGGAGATCTATATCTCTTTTAGGAAGGTTTGTTCCTCACAGAGCCCAGATCTGTCCACCTCTACTTCTTCTTAGAGCAGGTTGAGTATCCAGCTAATACAATTAACTCTGACATTTCACATTCCACAGCAAGCACATTAGCCCTTGTTGTGGCCTTCATGTCTTTGTGAAACTCTTGATGAATACAATAGAAACACTAACCCAAATACATGTGGGCCACTAGCATGTCCAGGGGATATGGCCAGAACTCAAAGAAGATGTTTATTTAACACAGAAGTCAAGCTTCTCACACACCTATGGCACCTTCCTTTTTTTTTTCTTAAATGTATTTGATTGTTGCAGGGTCTCACTACACAGCTCAGACTCATGGTGATCCTCCTACTTTCAGCCTCCCCAGCACTAGGATTATAGGCATGTTCCACTGTGTCTGGACTCTGGCCATCTCAGCCCACTCTTAGGGTGGGGCTGGTACATCATGTGGTGTCGGGGATTCAGTGACAGTCCCTGTGCTTGCCTAAGCTTGCCTAAGCAGGCACTTCAGTCTGCTGAGCTATCTTGCCAGCCACATTGTCTTTTATTATAACTTAGAAAACCCCAATTCTTTTGTCTATGGGATGCTCTTAAGCTCTCTCTAAACTGCTTTCCCTCCCACTCAGCAAAAGATAAAAAGCCCACCATCAGTACAAAGGGAACCACCATGGTTGTCTCCTGAAATGTGCGAGACATAGTGAAGCCAAAGCCCTGGGTGTAGGTACCAAGACTCCTTCCCAGTGAGCAATGTGGGGAGCCTAGAAACAGAACAGTGATGTTTTAGGATAGATCACACTGGGGGTCAATAGAAACCAGACAGTTGAGGGAATGGGCCCAGAGTGGAAGGAGGACAGTAGAGTTCTGGGGAGCCAGTGTTCTGAGGAGTCAGGTAACCTGTGGAGAGGCAGAGCAAATTGTCTGGAATGATGTGTTTAGTCATCGATGCTAATTTTGTTTGACTCAGAGCACACTGAGGCATCAAAAGGGAATCTCATTTTCACAGTCCATTATATGTATTGGGAGTATAAATGAATAATAGAGAAGAGAAAAGAGGGATCTGGGTGAGGAAGAAAGGAGCTCTAGCTTAGGGGTTTCTTCAGCTCTCTGGGTAGAATCAGCAGTGGTTATCTAACCATAAGGTCAAAACAGTTGTCCAAAACAATCTTCAACATGAGAAAGCATGTATTTCTTAAAACTTTGATAAAATAGACATTGCATACTCAAGCTTGTCTGAAAGGAGAAAAAGGTAAGGGCAGGGCAGAGGTGATTGGACAGTTTCTGTGGTCTACATGTATTGAGTATCTACAGTGTTAGATGCCTCATTTGCATTATTTTATCTTATGCTTGCACCTCCTTTTGAACGGGATATGATTCCCACCATACAGATATAGAATTGAGACTGACATAGGTTTAACAACTTAACAGAAGCTACAGGGCTAATGCATAATACAGCTGGGCTCAGGTCTGGTAACCTCCAGGCCTCTGTTCCTTCCTGTATTCAGTAATGGACACTTCCTTGTTCAACTTTTCATGGATCCATTCATTTGGAGGGGGCTATCATCAAAATCTGGGGCACAGACTAGGTCCATCATGCTGGTTACAGTCTGTGGCTTAACCAGGCAGATCAGTGCCTAAAAACTTCCTCAGCTGTGCCACATTCATCCCAGTGACAAAAGGATCAGTGAAAAACAGACAGCAGACAACCTCCCATCTAACTACAGCATGGGAGGGTCCTGACCTCCAAACACAAAAACAGCCAGCTCATGCAGCCAGGAGGAAGTATATTTCTCTGAAGGTGAAAAGAACAGAGGGAAAATTTTAGAATATCCAAAGTGAAAGACAGGAACTTGTAAGAACAAAAATTCAAGCTTAAAAAAAATCAGAATTATTCTTTTCATAATACTAACAATAAGAAAAGGTAGAGACATTAGCTATTTCTGACATACAGGAAATACAGCAATATTATGTCATATAGGCATAATCCCTCTAGGTTAGAGTATAAGATTATTATATTACTAAGTTGAATGAGGAAGGCATGTGTCACCAACCAGGTTGAACAGCACTGTGCAATGTGAAATTCATGGCATCCACAGTGGGGAAGACCCAGTCAGCCAGAAAACCACAGGGAGGGGTTGTAAGGATAAACAGCCAACTAATGTGGGACACAAATGAGACCAATGACCAGACTTCAGGAAGGAGAAAAGCCTGCAAGGCCAGCATCAGGGGTCTCATGGAGCCTTGTCTGTGAACCTGGGTTGGGAAGATCAGAGAAAGAAATGCTCACATTTATAACTGTCAGCTTTCCTGTTTACCAATCCAAGACAGTGGAGACTGTCTTTAGAAACTATAAGGAAAATCCAGCCATGCAAATCAGTTGAAGCCATCTCACTTCCATGAACATCCCTGTGATTTAAATTTTTCGCCACCATGGGGGACCAATGGAACCACCATTATCAATCTACAGTTAATCACATGACCAGTACATTCCTATAATTTAGGTCAGTCAACAGCAGCTATGGAGTCTGCCCTACTCTTCAGTGGCCCCTGACAGTCTCTGGAGGACTAGGTCAATTCCTGAAAACTTTATCTCATTTTCCCCTTCAGGAATAGCTGCAAAAATCCAGAGTAGGGTTAAGTGAAAGTCAAGCTTAAGAAAGGAATAGAAAATGAGACTTGTAAATGGGGGTGATCACATTTCAGTGTCTAGGAATTCACAAATCCTCCAGTCTTCTGTCTATTTACAACTAGTCTCAGGATGACTTGAGAATTCTTCACTATTGCTGGTAAAGAAACCCAATTCTAAATGCACTGAACATGGTCATACATAAACAAGCCTACAAAGAACACATCAAATGTAGTAAGAAGCCCAAGAGGATGGTTCTACAGTCCAAACCATGTCCTTCTTTCCCTTGAGTATCACACTGTGATGGATTCACTTCTAGGGTTACATCCCCATAGACAAGACTATACCCTACGACCCCCACCCCTTTTATTTGAGCATCTGTAGCTGTGTATAGGACTCCATCAAAAGTTCATTTACCCTGTGGATTCCATGGCCTCTTTTAGATTATTCATCAATCTAGGGAGAAAATGCTTTTTGACTGGCTCACATTTTTCATCAATAGCTTTTGCATGTAAGTAGGAATAAGTTATGTAAGGATTTATTCACAGGTGATCCCCTGGTTTTGCTTAGTTTGTTTGTCAAGTTTTAACTCTCTGGCATGCAAATTCCTTAAGATGGCAGTGGAGACCATTAATAAAATCATGATTCAGTCACCTGGGTGTTGAAAGGGTCAAATACCCTTCTCTGCTAGTTTGAAGGCACAGAAATATTTATAGTTGTGAGAACATCATTTGATAAATTTTTTTGATCACCTCGTGTGACTCTGAAAAGTTGACTCTGTTGTGAGCCAAAGTAGTAGAAAACAGCGGTCATTTGTAATTTATTTCATCCACTGAAGAAAATGATCAGGATTCAGGGTGAATGCCACTATTTTTTCTCCATGGGTCTTATAAGAAGCACATATTTCACCTCCGAGGGTAAAGAATAGGTGGAAGAGGTTTGAAGCCAATGGCTACTGTTAATTGCTCTGTTATGTTGCTTTTTTACAGGGCATCTATAGCTGCATTCACGGTGTGCACATTGAAGAAAAGAAGAAGTCTCCAGACTTCAATCTGACTGGGTCCCAGAGCAACATGCTAAAGCTCCTCCGGTCAGCCAAAAACATTTCCAACATGTCCAACATGAACTCCTCAAGAATGGACTCACCCAAAAGAACAGCTGACTTTATTCAAAGAGGCTCCCTCATCATGGATATGGTTTCAGACAAGGGAAATTTGATATATGCCGACAACAGGTCCTTTCAGGGGAAGGACAGCATTTTTGGAGATAACATGAATGAACTTCAAACATTTGTGGCCAACAGGCACAAGGACAACCTCAATAACTATGTGTTCCAGGGACAGCATCCTCTTACTCTCAATGAGTCCAACCCCAACACAGTGCAGGTTGCTGTGAGCACAGAATCCAAAGGGAACTCTAGACCCCGGCAGCTCTGGAAGAAATCCATGGAGTCTCTACGCCAAGATTCTCTGAGTCAGAATCCAGTTTCCCAGAGGGACGAGGGGACAGTGGAAAACAGGACCCACTCCCTAAAAAGCCCCAGGTACCTTCCAGAAGAAGTGGCCCATTCTGATATTTCAGAAACTTCAAGTCGGGCCACATGTCACAGGGAACCTGACAACAATAAGAACCATAAGACTAAGGACAACTTCAAAAGGTCAATGGCCTCCAAATACCCCAAGGACTGCAGTGAAGTTGAACGCACCTACCTGAAAACCAAAGCTGGCTCTCCCAGGGACAAGATCTACACCATTGATGGTGAGAAGGAGCCCAGTTTCCACTTAGATCCTCCTTCATTTGTTGAAAATATATCCCTCTCAGAGAATGTGGGCTTCCCAGATACCTACCAGGATCATAGTGAGAACTTCCTCAAGGGGGACTCCACACTGCCCGTGAACAGGAACCCCCTGCATAATGAGGAAGGGCTTCCCAACAATGACCAGTATAAGCTCTATCCCAAGCACTTCACCTTGAAAGACAAGGGTTCCCCCCATAGTGAAGGTAGTGACCGTTACAGGCAGAACTCCACGCACTGCCGAAGCTGCCTTTCCAACCTGCCCACCTACTCTGGTCACTTCACCATGAGGTCCCCCTTCAAGTGTGATGCTTGTCTGAGGATGGGGAACCTCTATGACATCGATGAAGACCAGATGCTCCAAGAGACAGGGAACCCTGCCAGCCAGGAGGGGGTCTATCAGCAAGACTGGGCACAGAACAATGCACTCCAGTTCCAGAAGAACAAGCTGAGGATGAACCGTCAGCATTCCTACGATAACATCCTTGACAAACCCAGGGAGTTAGACCTCAGCAAGCCTTCCCGGAGCATAAGCCTCAAGGACAGGGAGAGGCTCTTAGAGGGCAACTTATATGGGAGCCTGTTTAGTGTCCCTGCAAGCAAACTCTCAGGGAACAAAAGCTCCCTTTTCCCCCAAGGTCTGGAGGACAGCAAGAGGAGCAAGTCCCTCTTGCCAGACCACACCTCTGATAACCCTTTCCTTCACTCCTACAGGGATGATCAACGCTTAGTTATTGGAAGATGCCCCTCGGACCCTTATAAACACTCCTTGCCATCACAGGCAGTGAATGACAGCTACCTTCGGTCGTCCTTGAGGTCAACTGCATCATACTGTTCTAGGGACAGTCGGGGCCACAGTGATGTGTATATTTCAGAGCATGTTATGCCTTATGCTGCAAATAAGAATAATATGTACTCTACCCCCAGGGTTTTAAATTCCTGCAGCAATAGACGTGTGTACAAGAAAATGCCTAGTATTGAATCTGATGTTTAAAATCTTCCATTAATGTTTTATCTATAGGGAAACATGTAATAGCCAACGTTCTGGAGGGTAAATGTTGGATGTCCAATAGTGCCCTGCTAAAAGGAAGAGGATTTAGGGAGGTATTTTTTGTTGGCTCTTTTGCTCATGGCTCCATGCCATAATAATCTTCCACTCAAGGAGTCTTACGAAGTTTGTGCTGAGTATGGCAGATATCAGATAGGTGAGTCCTTAACCAAAAACAAATACATAAGTAAGGGCAAAGCTCCGGGACATGCCTACTAGGTATGTTGGCAATAATGATGCACTAGATGCTGATGGTGATGTTATGATTTCCTATATTCCAAATTCCATCAAGATCAGTCCAACACATAATTTCTTCATCAGAAATGCCTAGTGGTTTCTCTAATACAGAATAAGCAATATGGTATGCATGTAAATCTGACACAGACAATAAAACAGTTAAGAATGCATCTGCACTGTAGTGAGATTGACATGTGCAAGAGATTAGGAAGTTTGGCTTGTAACAGTTCTCAGCTTTATTGTTATGCCTTCCTTTCACAACCCAGGCCCAACCCCAAGAAATCCAAGCTCCCCCAAAGAACAGCAAACTAATATGTTCATGGTACCTGTGTTACCTTCATTATAGTCCATTCCCAAGACACATCTGGAACAAAAAGCCAGAGACATGCTCAGGCAGAGAGCTATAAGTATCTCTTTGGATGTTGATGTGTGTATTTCACTCACTTTCGGCTTTGGTGGTCTTGTTCAGAGCTGCATAAACTAACACATTATGTCTTTACTGTCTAAGTGTGGATCTTCTGTCTGTGACACAGTGGCCATTGTAGTTTATCCTGAAGACTCCTCTGTATGTAAGTTTGCATTTTCTCCCTTCTGGTGATGACTCAGGGTTGTATAGTATCTATTACCTCGTCCTTCCCAGAGTAACCATAACTTGTTGGTCCCCGAGCAGCTATGATGGTGTCTGATTAGATGTGTGTTGCTGTTCCCAGAGTTTTTAATGTGCTGTCATGTGCCAACAGCCATATGTGTACTGTGACCTGTAAGAAGTGCCATGCTATGTGTCTGCCCGAGGCCAACACGGTTCTTTAGGCTTATCTTCCTTAATGTCATGAAACTTTTGGACTCATTGTCTCCCAGTCTCCTCATATCAAAGGCCTTGAAACCATGAAACACTCATGCATCTACCCCGAGCACCCTCCAAACTGTGGAGAAGCTTAGTAAGACAAGTGATTTCTCTCTTCTGAAATACTCTTTTTATTGGAAGAAAACTACTTCACCAGCACCAACTGATCTATAAACAATTCTCAAAGCATTTATCATTTCTGAACTACTCACACCATCCCATTCTTATTCTACTCAGACCTGTGCACATGTGGTATGAATGATAGTCATTATTTAAAACATTTGGAAAAAGAGAGGGAAGGTTTAGGAAAGTTAAGCTTCTTAGCATAGCACCGTCCTGTAACAAAGTATTGGGGAAAAAGGTTAGTTGTTAAGTTACGAAGCTTTTTCAGACCAGGATTTTCTAATTTAAAAACTAAATACCATAAAATTAGCAAACAGTACTAATTAACCATTCTATATGGTTTTACTCCATGAATTGGTATTGCTTAAATACATTAATATTCTTGAAATGGTTAGGCTAACTGCCCATCAAGTTCTGCAGGGGACCTCGGTCTGCTTAGGAGCAGATAACAGAAGTCCTAAGCTCAATGGCCCTAAGCCTGGTCAACTCCCAGTTTGCTTCCTGAATTTTGTTTTGAGTTCTTGGAGAAAGAGACAAAATGGCAGGCTGAGAAATTACCTTGTTTCTTTTCCTCATGGGTATTCTGATTTATAAGTAGCATCTTTCTGTAAGTGGATAAGTGCCAAAGATGATTCTCTTAGAGCTTGAGAATATACTGAATGCTGAATGACTCTATCTTTCGAAAAGTGCACCCAGCCTACAATATTTCTATAAGGGCAAAAACTGGCTGCAAAAAGTTTACATGTCCATGGTGGAATAGGGAAGGGAGGCAATAGGACGGAGCATCTGTCAATCATGCTTGGAAAGCAAAAGGGGCTGAGGGGACGCTGTTAATCAATGTACTTAAAAATTCCATTATTTCTTGTATGTTTCCTTTTGTGGTTCTAAGACCCAGGAGTGCAAAAGGCTGCATTTATAGACCCTGAATAGTCACCCAATTTCTGATCTTACATTTAAGTTTCTCTGATTGTATATTGTTAGCACTTTCTGCCTGTGCCTTCCCGTTACATTCAGATCTGCATCTGCCCTGCTAAGATCACCTCCCTGTCCTCATGTCTTAACATGAAATAAATTAAAAAGTCTCCCTAACATACAGAGCAATGATATGCAATCAATCCAAAGAGGCTTTCCATCTTCTTCTGGTGTCCTCAAAGGCGGGAGGACTGCCAAATGACATAAAATCTCTGGGGAGAGACCGATTACCCTTGGCTTGACTCCTTACATCAAAAAACCTGCTAATACTTCCACTATTAACTCCATAAGAACCTGGATAAGGAATTAAATTATGGTTTTTGGAAGAACTGAAAACAACATAGCAGAAAAAAATACACTTCTTTTAGCACCCTCCGCTAAAGAACTGATTCTTAAATGTGATGATTTAAAAAAAGAAAACCAGAGGATCAATTTACAAGTAAAAAATAATGATGTGGATCTAATCAAAGGTAACCCAGATCAGTTAGTTTTTGGAAAGGGCATATCCAAAACATAACATTCACTGATAAATGGTATCTACAGGAATGAAGGATAAGAAATAATTATTAAGTCCTGGATTGTAGGTCCGTTATAAAGGATTCCTGAGGTACACCCCAGCTCTGAGATCTTAGATTTGATGCCAAGAGGTAAGAATCTCTGAACCCAAATGCTTGAGTATACTTGGCTTAAGTCAGAGTTACAGCTATAATGTTATTTCACTAGCACATGGCTTCTCTGCTTGGGCAGGATCCACTTTCCCTCAAGTACAGTCCTTGGGCATAGCTGGAAGCTCTAGTCAAGTTTCTGTCCATAGGTAATAGCACACACAGGCAACCTGCTATGCTTCATGGAATGGAGGCTTCCAGAGCATGAACTCCACTCTGGGGAATCTTAGTGTTGGGGAAAACAGTTTGCACCATCCTTACACCTCCTGGTTCTTACAACACATCTGGATCTACTGTCCCAAATAGGCAAACCCCCAGTGCATCTATCTTTATGTCAGGGAGCCCTCCATGAGAACTGAGGGGTTATAATCTGTCCATTCATGATTGCTTGTCCTCTGCAAATTTCTTTCCATTATTTCAGGTAGCACCATGACTGTCTTATGGCTTGTACTTGGGTTTCTTTTTCCTGTTTCATATGGTGCTTATGAGAATTCAATACTTAGCTTTTCTGGTGAAAGCATTTAAAATTCACCCATTGCAGCAAAATCTGTCAAATAAATTCACAGTTATTTTCTGGGGAAAAAACTAAAACTACACCTTGTTTACAAATGAAATAGTTTCATTTAAATGGGACTTTAGCCAAGGCAGTTAATTAGTCAAAAGATCCGTGGTCGTCACACAGTCACACGTTGTTTATTCTGTTTGATATGTCTACCACTGATGTGTATTTAATATTCTGCATCCTTCTCAGGAAATGACAAATGCCCTGAATTCTTTGCAAATAGAATTGCTAATGAGAAAGAAAAAGAAAGTTGGTGTTAATTAAATGGTGATTAAAAATTTATCTCCTTTAAACCTAAAAAGTGCAGCTTTAATAATCGGTTGTCATATAAATAAATACCTTGCACTGAAATCCCTTGTGGCTTAAGACCTAGATAAATACTAATTTGAGGAACCTAAATATGTTTCAGAGGAGGTGAATACACTCGTTAGTATTATGCGCATTCCTGTACTGTTTCTTTGTGTGTAGCTGTTGGGCATGAATCCTTGGGAGGGGGACATGAGTTGTTTCCCAAAGGGAGCTTGTTTGCATTAACTATCACCACAGTAGACATAATTAGATTTTAAGAGAAATAATTTGAGTAGGTGGAAGCCAAACGCGTTAGTTGATATTTAACACAAGTTATGAGTTCTATGTAAATGTGATTTTCCTTCCAAAAGCAGTGTTTATTTTCACTCAAGTCAAAATTAGGCTTCTCTGATACCCCATCTTCTTTTGGCAAACAGGGTTGAAAGTGCTGATTGAGAGATTATGCGGGGTCTATACTTGCAGTGTTCTCCCAGTATGCAGCTTCCCTTTCCCATTCTGCTTCTTTATCTTGTACTGTGTTCATAACTAATTGTCTCAGATGAGGTCAGCTTGCCACCTGATGCAGATCAAAGATGATCAAATGCACTTATCCTGTGAATACAAATGCTTGTGTACACATGTATATAATATACATGCTTGATTTCTACAGTTCACACATAGGTGTATTATCTAAATAAAGTTGTACATATTGTAAAGTTTATGTTTTAAAATTAAGTGGGAATGATAATCTATTGACACATGGAAAACCCATTCTAGCTTTTTTGATGGTTTCTGTAAGAAGACACTATATTTTTTTAAATCTCAGTACTGGGGAATATAGCAGAGCCTAAGTAGGATTTGGGTGTTGGTTTTCCTGGCCTCTTGAAAAAAAAGAATCTGGGTGAAGGGTGTGGATTATACACGCTCATATTCACTTCTGAAGACAATGCTAATAACTTGTATGTGATTTCCATAAGCCCATCGAAAGGCACAGATTGCTTGTTTAAATTCTTTATCCTCTTTCCTACTCCCTTATATATTTTTCTGTGCCCAAAAATGTTCTCAGGCTCGTGTCAGCTGCAGGTGCCTGCACCAGAGCATTTTTGAACAACAGAATTGGTAGGACTGCACCAAGATCTAGAGGAAATGAAAGGGAGATGGGAATATGAAGCCTGAGAAGTAGCAGGGATGTGTTTAAGCTCATCAAGTCAGCATCAGAGATGGGGCTAGCAGCCAAGACTTCATGGTCCAACTTCTTACCACATTAGCTATTTCTCAGTTTTGTGCAGCGGGACATTTCTGAATGCTTGCAGGATAAGAGTCAGAGAGTCACTGACTTTGGTTTTCTTTATTGTGCAGACCGAGGGATGCTTCTTTGAATTTGGTTTCCCTTAAAGATCTTTCATAATTTCTTATCTCAGAGTCCCAGAGAAGAAAAAAAATTTTTTTTTTTACTCAACACTTCTGGGAAAGAACAAGAAAGGTAGAGTAAAATCTCAAACCAAAGATGAAATCTGACAACAATGATTGAAATAATTATTGTATTTCCCAGGCAGCAAGGTTGAACCATGTGTCTTGATCAGGTTCATTCCTTGAAAATCCATTCTCTTTTGATGTCCAGTTTGGGGTTGGGATATTGTAAAGTGAATAGAAAATCTAGTGTATCTTCCTGTAAGGGATTCATGGCTTAGAAATTTAACTCCCGAATACAAAAGATAACTAAGGGCCATAAAAGGAAAACAAACTAAATGTTGAAAATTAGAATTGACCAATGAAATTATTTCCAGGAAATAAATATTAATCTGATTCCATGATAAACCTACCCAAATAAAAGGTCTTTTTGTGACTCCCTGGACCTTTTTGGAACTCTGAAGAATATAGTTGACACTCCTAAAGATGGACTCAATTTATTTGAGCCTTTAGAAAGCTGCTTAGGAAAGCACTTGGAAAGTTCAAACAGTTGAACAAACTCTTTCTTCTGAAATTCTTTTGGGGGGTTGGGGGCTCAGCACACCCTGAAAGTAGGGCTGGTGCAGCATGTGGTGCTGGGATTGAATTGTGGTCCCCTGTGCCTGCCTAAGCCTGCCTAGACAGGTGCTATAGACTGCTGAGCTATTTTGCTAGCCCACCCTTCTGAATTTTTGCATAGACAGCAAAAGTTGGGTCTGGGTCCAGCCTGATCTCTACTCTTTGCCAAATCCTGCTTCTTCTTCGCTCTTCTTTATGCATGTACTTCAAAAAAAAATTGGAAAAAATTAATCAAAGAACTGTAAAATAGACCAGGATGTAAAAAGAGGAAATATATCCCAAAACCCTTTTTGCTTTGTTTTGTTTTTAACTTGTGAAGAGCACTTTCGATAGTCCATGGTATGGCTGTTTGGGGGTGGGGCGGGGAATAGGGAGAACTCCTTGTGAAGTCCCAAGTGCCTACTGTTGTGGCTGGCAAAAGCAAGTATCAGGTTCCCTAGAGAGAAAATGGGACAAGGAGATGTCTAACAGAATGTAGATGTATTTCAGGAGAGATGGTAGAGTAGAAAGGGTGGAGAGGAAGCGTTTTTCACTCTGTCTATCCCATTTGGAATTGTATTGGAATATTAGATTCTCTGCTCATCACAAATACAATCCATATATCAATACCTGAGTCTGCAAATATAAAAAATATATCTACTTTGTGTATAGACTGGTCTAAAATACACTCCTCAAAATAACACGCAAATATAAATATAATTGTTCCCATTTTATAGAGAAGGAAACTGAGGATTAAGTACTCAGCCTCATCAGAAACAAGAATTAGCTATTAAATTTCTAAACTTAGACAT